ATATATATATATATATATATATATATATATATATATTTGCAAGTAAGCTCACCTTTTCGTACAACTAATAACATCAGAGGAAGTTAAAACATGCCGCGTTATGTTTAGGTATTCTCGCCAACAGATTGTCGTAAGTTACTACGAGCAAATAGGGCCTGTTTATGCTTGGGTTTCCGTCCGCGTGAAGGAAACTCAAGCAAATCTTCTGTTTAATCTTAAGCGTACACTTGCGCCCTTGAATTTTCAACGATACGAATAACGAGAAACAATGACGCAGGTAGACGGTAACCGCTGGATTGTTTAGAGAGCGCATTACAAAAAGACGGGGCAAAGTAACAGGGCGGAGGAGGACTGAGATAAATTATCTGGAAAAAAAATGTACTGCGAAATAAGAGAAAGCTGTTAGAATTGTAACAAGCGTAACGTAGATATAAAAAGAGACGGACTAAAAGGGAATAAGTCAAACAGATATGTCAAGGAAAGAAGATGACATAAAAATAAAGTGCTTAAAAGAAACGGGCGAAATGGAAGCAGACACGGGTTAAATGTAACTAGGATAAGGAGAAGAGGAAAAGAAACAACGCGATAAGGGAAAAAGGCGATTCTCTCTCGGCGGAGCTCTTCGGCGGAGATCTCGGGACGGGGCTGGAACGGAGGGAGAGGGAATGGGGACGAGGGCGAGAGAGCACGAAGGGAGCAAACATTAATGCCACCTTGCAAACCGCAGATGTTGCACCAATTACAAACCTCATCCTTCCTTCGCAGCCCGTCCTTTCCTTCCTCTCGGTCTTCGCAAATAGAGAAGGAGAGACGAGGAGACATATGCCGTATTCAAACTTACCACATCCCATCGCATTCGCTATCCTCCTCTCTCTCTCTCTCTCTCTCTCTCTCTCTCTCTCTCTCTCTCTCTTTCTTGCTTTTGTCTATCCATCTATCCTTTCCGCTCTTTTACGTAACTATCACTCATATGTTCCTGTTACGACCATCACTTCAGTTGCCTCTCTGTTACCTTTTCGTTTATTCCTTCCTTTTTATTCTCTACTTGTTCTCCACTTAAGCCTTTTTTGACAGTCACCGTCGAGTTTTGATTTTCTAAGTAAACACTGGTGGCTTTGAAGTAGCTCAAATGTAAATCCTTATTCAAATTTTTTTACAGGTTTAATCTACAAGATCTATTCCGATTTTTCTTTAAGGATTATGGGTATCATTAATATTCATTGTGATAATGAATGTGCGACATTTTAATGTAATTTATAGTGCGATCGATAATGTAATTTAAAGTAGCAACGTTCATTTTATATATATATATATATTTTTTTGAGAATTTCGTTACAAAAGAAAGATTCGTCTTCGGAAAATTGTTATCCCGTTACAGACCTCATTTCCGTGGTTCTCTTTCGCCCTCTGTAGAGAGCTTTAAAGCGAGCTGCTTACTCTTCTTCAAACCACTCTTAAAGCCGCAATCGATTCCCAGGATTCCCCAGTGGGTCCCCTGGCTCTAGTTAACATCGAAGTTAATCGCGTCGGAGATTCAAAGTATGTTGCTGGAAAATCCAGTTATGGGATGGCATTTGACTATACGTGATGCTAGATTGAATATGTAAATCCGCTGTAGCTAGATTGGGATTTTACTAGGCTAGAATATACAAGCTGCAGTTGAAACTTTTCAATTTTTTTTTTCATCTGTCAAGAATGTTTTATGACAAAGACGCGGCAACGACGACACAAAAATATGTATATCGCGAAACGTATCGGTTTGCATTAATATGCCTTTCATAACTCGTGGAAAGTATACTTATATAATTTAATAAATGTCTCCCTATATCATTTCCGACGTAACGTCATTTCTAAATTTTGTTTTCTGTCTCGTTACTTCCTCTGCCCTTTTCTGAACGTGTGAGAAGGATCTAAATGATTGATGCCTCCTTCAGATAAAGATATATAAAGATCCAAGAGGATACTTTTTCCAAATATATTTCAAGTGCTTGTTACTCTTCGTATATACGCTCGCGTGACAGCCGACGTATATCGCAGCGCTTCGTTGAAATGTGAAATAGCGGAATCAATCCCATAATTCGCGAAATTGCGGAGGTGTACGTTGGAAATTACGTAAAAAGAGGATACGCCGCATCGTACTCACCTGTCTTGATACTCTTCTCATTTTGAATCGTCAGCGAGCTTGGATTTCCGTAAACAGAGTTATTCATTTCCGCCATGATATCCCAATCTGCAAAAGTAAACGCACGTTGGCGAATTAAATTCGAGCTGGCGAAGTGCGATTTGAGTAAAATCGATTGTTATATATATATATATATATATATATATGGACCTTGATTAAATCTTGACGATGTCGTTCTAAGGATATGTCATATTTTGGACTGACTTATCTGTTTTGTGGTGCTTTATATATAATCTCATTACGAATAGATTTTGTATCTCTAATATCTTACCTTTCTTGGGAACCTCCGTGGTAGATGGGCTAGGACTGGTGCTTGGTGGTGCGGACACTGCAACAAAATAAATTTCTACCCTTAACAATTGGATTTACATTCATGTCGCATATTTCATACTAATTCATACTAATTTCATACTATCAGAGTTCTTTGGCAAAATATTCCTACATTCTTTCCCAATCGTGAAAAGACTCGATCTTACTCCATTCATCATTTCCCTCGTAATTTTCATGGAGAAAAAAAAACATAATTATTTTCAGTGTTTCAAAGAGACGTGCTTCTTCAAACCCTCACCCGCGATTTCAATCTATGGCATCGCTCGTATTTCTTTTTGCTTTTATTCCTATTGTTATCAGTCTGCCCGCATTTACATTTTCTACGTGAGTCTAAGAAAAATACGAAAACACGCATTATTTTGAATCCTCGTCTCCTACTTTTGGGGAACTCGAAAAATTATGTGGAATAAAATAGAATTAAGATAAAGATGATCGAATCCTCATGTACTTTTGGGGAATTCGAAAAATTATGTGAGATAAAACGTAAGATTAAAATAAAAATGGATCATATATGGAATTATAACACGTGTTGTGTCTACATATTTACACGCAACCAGACAAAGTACTTTTGTCCTTCTAGATTGGGCAAGTTTTACACCGCGCGATATTATGGATCGCGCCACCTGTTACTAACTTCTCTCCCGGAACGTATTAGCCGCCGTAGCGCCGGCCAAACTCTACATCATATTTTACTCCGGTACGTACTACCGACATCCGCGCCTTCCAATCCTGCATGCGCCTCCTCGCGTAACTTATCCGGAGGGTATATACCTGAATAATTATTCGTAATTTCATCATTTGTCTTTAGCGAACGCGTCGTCGGTCGGATTTATTACTGGCTGCGGCTGGACGTGCTCGCTGCAGAAGCCTCTGCTAAAAATTTTTCAGGAGGCTTTAACTTGACTTAATTAAAATTAGTTAATATTGCTCTTGATAATTTTGTTATACTCATCGTTGGAAACATCACGGTGAAAATGTTATAATTCTTTTGTTTGATCCTTCTACCAAAAGATTTACTTTAATTATATTACTGTTCCACTTTTATTTTTTTTAATACATGATAACTTTACACACACACACACACACACACACACACACACACACACACACACACACATACACACACACACACACAGAGAGAGGAAGATGAGCAAATAAACTTTTTACTTCTTTTTAATTTTACTTCTTTTTAATTTTTCGAGAACTTGCTATAATATTTTGAGTCGCGAATTTTGGGACATCCTGTATATATATATATATATATATTACTGTGATTTTAGAACTCCATCAATTCTCCATTTCTAATTAAATTTTTGCCAGTGCAGAAAAACAAAATCTTGTTAAAACATATCATCCATTGAATTTGAACTCAAATGTATTGGAAATATATCCGAAGATATGAGAGGAAATAGGATAAAAGTGAGATGCAGATTTTACGTGACAAACGTATTCTCCTGATACGAAAACGAACACAAACAAATCGTAAATTAAATGCCATTTGTGTGATGAAATGGTATATGGAATACTCCGCGCCATCTGCCTCTTTTTGTTGCCTAAAATGTAATTTTAAACGGTGATATCTATTGATAGCGCCCCTAATGTGGGGAATACACCCGTAGCGAAAGAGGTCATTGCTATTTGTCACAAGCACCTGAGCGATTACTAAGCGGCAAGGTTGTAAAAGAGGGGCTTGCACGCGATGCAAGCTGCGGAGCAGGGAGGTGCGTTCTCCCCAAGGTAAATAGGATAGGATGACAAAGTATGCGCCTCAGTAGGCGTGTTTACACACGCGAACGTAATGCAAATATGTAGCCGTTGTCTTTTCCATAAGATAATACCTAAATGACTTTCAACCCCCGTTTTACTCGACCAGGCGGCAAACGTTTGCCACAAAAATTACAACAACCACATGTCTACGTGTAACTTTATCTCGCTAACGTTTGTCACCGTAAACATACGTATCCCAAAACAGGGGTGCGAACGTAAATTAATAAAACTTTTATCGTCCAAAGTTGGACGGGGTAAGACCCTGTAAAATTGCGTTTATCATTGTCGGCTGTCTATAAGCTTTTTCACGCATAAAGATCAATATAAAGATCAATAAATTGCGATATCTATGCGAACAACTTGCAATTGTTGTCATCAGAAATTGTCATCGTGGTTATTATGAGGCTGCTACCCAGTTTTATAGATATAAATATGGCACGCGCGGCGGATGAAATTCATTTATCACTTTTGCAAGTCACCGATGGAAGGCGAAGAGATTAAAGCTGAGAGCGCAATGGAGGAAAAAACGGGATGGTGGAAGAAAGTGAGAAAGAAAGAGAGAAACAGGGGGGAGAGAGAGGGACGGGCAGAAGGGGAAAGGGAGAAGAAAAAGGGTAAGGGGAAAAGAGAGAGAAAGTAAGGCAGCGACTTTTCACCTTTGATTTATCGCGCTAACTTTTATTTTTCTCAGGAGATATTAAAACCCGTTGTCCTGACCATTTAGCTTCACTGGCCTGATTGATGATTGGACCAGTTAACGTGCCTCGGCCTCCGCCGACGAATCAACTCTCTTTCATTATGCCCGATTAATATGCGTTTGTAACGTACTGAAGTTTAGAGATTTGGCCGCCGTTCTGATCAAAGTTTAATTCAAAGACAGATTGCTGCAACTTTTCAACAAAAGGCACGCTCATTAATAACAGTTATCAAAAATTACTATTAAAAAGTTTATCGTAAATAAAAATGTAGAGATATTGTTTTAGTCAACGGCAACGCAAAAGAAAAATGGTAAATAAAGAATGATCTAGGAAATGTAGGGAAAGAAATAAATCGCGAGCCACCGCGTCCGCGGTGTAAAATTTACACGTACCGATCCGACTTTTCATCGCCGAGCGGAGAGAACTCATTAAAACCTTAAGATGGCTTAATTAGTTTAATAGCATCATCCCTTTTCATCGGTACGTCACTAACGCTCCGTTTCTCCATTTCCATTCGCTCATCTGCCTGCCATCCAATTTCTCCTTCCACCGTGCGACTGCAACGAGTACGCAAGACGTTCGGATATTGTCTAGTGTAAATGTTATTCACTGCGCGGGTAATTGTTGGCGTATTCTAGCGCAGTATAAATTACACACAACCAGGAAACCAATGAATCTATTTGCAGAATGTCGGATATACCAAGATGTGCAATGAGTTTAAAGTATCAAAGTTGATTCAGGAATAAAGCAAGAAGATACGTTAGAAAATTAGAAATTACGTAGCGTGACGACACAGTTTGCAATGAGATATTCAAAGCGTTTGTGAGAACGTTTCGAAGCCAGAATCATAACATTTTCGATGCGTGACATTATTTTAAAATTATTCCAGAATATTTCAAAGGAAGAAAAAAATTACTGGGAATATTTTTTTAAGCGCAGCTCTTTTGGTTTCTTTTATAATAATTTTTCTTTGATTTGAAAATATCGAGTGTGATCAATCTTTATCGCATACTTTTTCTTTCTAATTTTATATACATAATTATTTAAAACAAAATTTAAAATTTTTTAATAATTTTTTATTTTAATAACTTTATTTTAATAAAATTTACTCATTTTAAACTGACTGAAAAATATAATTCATTTAATATAATATAGTAATATAATATAGTATAATAATAATATATAATATAATATAATTAATTTTAATTTATACTTTTCTTTGTCAAGGCTTTTTACAGTTAAAAATTTTCCACGTATTCAGTCGTTGAATTAACACTTTCTCGATATCGTTACATGAAATGTTTTAAATTTATCAGTACACATTTGATAATTTCAATCCCGTACGCAACATCGGATTGTACATTTTTTTATCTCGCGTGTCGCAGCGCGTCGTAATTAAACTACGCGCGGTCTGAATTGTAAATCGTTTGACGCGAACGCGAACGCGTTAGGCGACCAAGGCCGACGGCCACCAATCGTCAATGCTGCCATTATTGCGGCCGGACCACGATCATTAACTAAATCGACGACAGATCCGTAGGAAATAATTTGCCGTAGGCGTCATCGAATCTCGGCGCGATGCGACAAGCAGGAAATTGCCAGGCTTCGTCGGGTTACGATCGCGTAACCCAATTTCGCGAAACAATGGTGGCGGTGGTGGCGGTGGTGGCGGTGGTGGCGGGCGTCGACGCTTTTGTTAACAGCTGCCGCTACATCGTCTGTAATTACTCGCGACGAAATCCCACACTAACATATCGATCGAAGACGTTTTCGGCCGTTTGATTCGATTAGTGATTGGGGAGGTAGATATACAGGTCATATTGTAGGAGCCCTCCGGCCAATACGTCTTCGATCCCCCGTCGACCCTTGCCCCTCGCTTTCATAAACACGAAGTCAAAGTCCTCTTTGATAATTACCGACCTACAGCTCGTCACATTAACGCGTCTTGTGACGCATCGATCCATTAACGTGTCAATCGGGCGAGTCTCTAGGTGGATGTTGCGACGATATCCGCGCTGATATCCCATGAGATTACCAAGGTCGCTGCTTGAGGAGGATAGGCTTGGCTTCCCACCGACGCGACGTGTCGTCGTCGTATGTTCCGCACGTGACAAAAACCACGGAAGAGATGTTATGTCTGCGCGAGATTTTTTTCCTTTGACAGATATCCAAATAACTCAAAACAGTCTGTCCTCTCGTGACGAGATTCTCGCTCGTTTTGTCGAGTCTCCGATTAATAAGCCCCGTAATGATGAGAAAGGGTCACGGTGGTCGCTGTATAACGTAGTTATAATTCTATCAGAGCTGCCTTTGTTCGGGACCGTATTTCCAAATGGTGATCTCGATAAAGTAGCCAATGGTATCCGCCGGAAGGCATTTCCTCGCGGAGCGACGCGGTGGTCCGAGCGGGAGGGCGTGGATGCGCGCGGTTAAGGGTGACTAAAACAGCGTAGAT